GGCTCTGTGTATTAAATGCCGCTCCATCTGAAAGCACGTGATGGAGATTTACTATTCACAGAACCGGCTTTACTGAGATATGCGCATGACAATCACATGCGATTTATCGTGCAGCCCTAAGTTTGTTTGTTGATCACAAAGTACAAAGTAGATGAGGAAAACTAGGATGCTGGGTGTACCCTATTCAAAGCGCCGCCATTACTGTCTACAGTGCGTGGAATGGTGCGCTGTGATTGGTTGAGCGGATATATCGCATTCTGCAGAGAAGGGAGACTGGCATTTGTCACGTTTTGGAAAGAGAGGGAGAAAACATAACCGAATAACTCGGCGGATATCGCACTTTGCGTAAAATTAAAAATTGACTTTTCAATACCGACCATATACAATACTGATTTTGGCAGAAACTCAATTTTTTTTAACATTTCAGTACCGACAAGTGTCGAAGTCAATACTTTTGACAACCCTACCATGGTACAGCCGCATTACTTTTTTGTAAGAGAATATGTACTCTTCATTTCTCAAATTGTACTTATGTTAATATGTCCTGGTTTGATGTATCAGTTATTGAAATAGCATCTTTCATTAATTTCAGCACAATGGATAAGGGCCAAACGATAAAGCTCTTCGTAGGAAATCTGGCCCTGGACACCACGCAAGAAGAACTGTCAGCCATCTTTGAGTCGTATGGCCAGGTGGTTAGCTGCAGCGTCTTGAGACAGTTTGCTTTCGTACACCTGCAAGGAGAGGGTTCTGCTGAACGTGCCATCCGGGAGCTCAATGGCCGAGAGTTCAAAGGACGTAACCTTGTGGTCGAGGAGTCCCGAGGACGCCCGCTCCACTCGACAAAGGTGTTTGTGGGTAATCTGAGTAGTATGTGCACCACAGAAGATCTTCGGGAGCTGTTTCAGACCTTTGGCAAAGTTTTGGAGTGTGATAAGGTGAAAGGTAAGAGAGTATCAAGCTCTTTCAAAAACTTAATGCAAGAGTAGTCAGACGCTCGACTCCCTCAGGCCAGTGCTGCCCGCCGCCCCCGTCCCTGCCGCTGCCGCCATCGCCATGGCAACACCCCGCGTGTATGAGCCACCGCCGATTCCGCCGTCGCACAAGGAGCCCCTCCTCCGCCGCTCCGAACTCACCCTACACACCCCTGAAACACCCTTCCGATAGTGTGCTCCACGTCCTCTCTGCCTCTCCTTTCCTTGTGCTGCGTGTGTGTGTGTGTGTGTCAGAAAGAAGCCACAGGTGTATGTTTATGACGTGTGCGTGCTTGGGTTTAAGACGGTGGCTGTGTCGATTTTAACTACAGACTGGATTCTCTAACCTTGGTTCTGATCTCAAACACACCCAGTGTAGTCAGGGCTGAAAAGGGAAACTGCATGCTCTCATTCCTGCACACTTAACCAATGTAACACATTGTCTGTTTAAAGAAACCTTCAATCTATGGCCAATTAGTTTTGAAGGGTAGATTAGGCACTAGTCATGATGCTTTTTAACTTTTATATCCTTAAGTGTTTGTAGTCTATGAATGAATACTGGACTTGATATTTTTAAATATTGCTTGATTATAGTTATATGAACTTTACCAGTTTACGCATTTATATAGTTATTAATAAGTTAGATTTCAATGCATTTCAAAAATGTTTAAATAAGTTGAATGTATGTATGTATGTTTACTCCAAAGGTGTGTGAAGTGTAGGACCAGGGTTGGACAGTATTTTACATGTCTTTGTGTGTGTTTCTTGTTTTTCTCTGGGACTGTGGTGTAGCGTGTATGCTTTCCATTGGTTGTCATGACAGGAACGCACACGTGCACAGGGAAGCAACCTCGATCCACACGCACATACATACGCATCCCTTACACCTCAGATGGGAGAAACTTTAGTGATGACCTTTAACCCTACCCTTCCATCCCTGTCCACCCATCCTGAAAGCTGAAAGACACTGTGACTTCTCTCCCCTCCAACTTTAATGTAGCTACTTCCATAGATATGGTGATGTATGGGAAGCAACCAATCAGAGCAAGGTGTAGCTAGTCAGCTTTTGCTGTGATCTGTCTTATGGGAGCATCTCTAAGCTCGCCAACTTAACTGCCATGATGCATTGTAGAATCTGTTTTTGTAAAGTGTCTTTTATTAATGCTATCATGTTTTTATAAAGAGTGATAAGGGACTCAAGTATCCATTTAAAGAGACATACTCCTTTCGATTGTTAACTTTTGTTTACAGCTGCAAGAGAGAGAACATGTTCTTTCTTGTGGCTTTTTCACAGTGATTGTTTATAGCCAAAATTCTCTTTTTTTAATTTTTTTCTAGAAAAACAGCCAAAATCATTAGTGGCCTACTATTTTTATGCCTTAGTAGTAAAATGTATTAAATTTTTGCAATTTTTTTAAATCTGTAGTCTTATAAAGTGAAACTGGATTAAGGCTACATGAAAGTGCTGTATATTCTGTGGTGCTGTGATTTGGTATTAAATGAATTGGGAGATTCCTATCAGTTTCTTTCAGTCTTCCTGCTCATTTCGCTGCTGCAACTCCATAGATGACCCTCACTGCATCTCTCTTCATCTCTCTTTGCATCTGCCTCTCATTTAGTGACAGTATTTCATTTGTTTACCATGCCCCTGTTCGCACCTATGTGCTGAGGATGCCAGTGTGTGAATGTGAATGTGATCTTAGAAAACGTTTTGCATCGACATTCATGTTTGTATTTTCTATCATGGTAACTGTTCTTGCCGCAAGTGTTCTCAGGAGAGAAGACTTTAAAGATCTGTACACGATCTTTACGACTATAACAAGCCTTCAAATAAAGAGCCTGCCTGATCATTTAAAGAGGGAACTCAAGAGCTTTTGCTTGGAGCTTTAGCTGTTTTTGCTTTTTGATGTTTCATAATTGTTTTTTCCTTTGTGAAACGACCAGACTCGTATGAATCGGAGCCCTGAAAAGAAGCTAAAGGACATGAGACTGATCCCAATCTCACCCCTGTCTTTATGGATGGGGTAAGTCTAGGGGCAATCCCACTCTATACCCCCCAGCTGCACACACCATACCAAGCCTTCCCCAGGAGCAGCAAAATCTTCAACCCAGCTTTTGGTACTTTTTAACCACACATAGTCCCCATGCAGCTTCTTTAACTGGAGTGTGGTACGATGATGACTATCCTTGACATGCTGTTATGATGCAAGCATATTGTAAAACTGATATGTGTTAGGTGGCACCCACTCTGTAAAACCTTTTTGCATTTCCTTGGTACGTGATGGGGCTGCAATTGTAAATTCAAGATATCTCCCACAAGGCTTCGCTCACTTCTGCTTCCATTGTGCATGTTTCTTTTTTGTTTTCTTTTCACCCCAAAAACAAACGTTTTCTGATGTGACTGTTCCAACTGAACTAGGTCCCTATGGAACTGTGGACGCCAAACGCAGAGCTGGTTTGGGGGGAAGAAAGTTAGCGTCGCGCAATGCACGGAAAACTCTCTCTCACTCCATACAGGTAAACGCACTGTGCCTCGCCCCTTTCTACCTGTCGTCCTTCCCAATAGCGTTTGCGCCTGACCGTGTATCCGCTCTATTTCTCCTCACCACCACCCCACCCCTCTTGTAGATTCCTCACTTCTAGTCACCACTGCCATAGCCAATTGGTTCTCGAAACACCAGTGTTATGCTACTCTGTCACTGCCAAAAAGGGGGGTGGCGGGGGTGACCGTTTACTGCTTCTGTGGTTAGTGTGTCTCGGTAATGGGTGGGTGCTTGGTGCTCTAATAACTGATCTGTTGGTTTAGCTTTGGAGAGAGTGTGGTTATAATGTGTCCATAAGCAATTGAATGTGTGGAATTGCTGGTCAATGATTGAAAGACTGCGTAAAATGAGCGTTAAAACAAGTTAGCAAGGGTGGCTGATAAAGGTGTGTGACAAAGGTGAGTGATTGTGAGTCAGTATCGTCGACCTCATCTGGCCCCCCCTTCCATGTGCCTTTTTTGTTTGTTTATATGATTTAACGCTTGCCCCCAGGCTTCCTCGAGTCTACTCGCCGTTAACGCCCAGCTCACCGCCGCCCTCGTCGAATCCCCAGTGCTAGTTGTTACGTTTGTTCAGTGTTAACCACTGCTTGAACGCATCCCTGAAAGCTCTGTGACTGGACCTGAGACACTGGCCAAAATGTTATTCGCAAGACTCTCATTTGGACTCAGTGACACTGACAACCCTTATCAAGCATTGCTTGACTGTCTTACACTGCTGAGCCGCAACCCAGCAAAGCATTCTTATTATAAACTTCTGCTTTTGTTTCCAAGATTGACAACAATTCTTGAGTGGAAGCTTAGGCATAGTCATCCCAAATAGTTACCAAATTTATTTAGTTTTTGTTTGTCCGATTAAAAGACATTCTACTTTAAGTTAATCTGAAAGCTACCTTGTGTTACCTGTTTAAATGAGAGTCTGTTACGATATTTGTGTTTGCAATAGCTGAGTGTACGATAAGTAGGTGGCACCGATTTAGATCGCCTACCTGGTTAAATTAAATACCCGGTAGAAGAATGTCCTAGAAAAAAAGCAGCTTCAGCTGGGAAAAAATAAGACTGCTGAACCTGAGCTGCCTGAGGGATACTTACAGGACCTTTCCTCCAGAGGGAGCATGGTAGTGAAGTGTGATTTATTTCACTAGAAGGTGCTGTTGTTCCTGATTTTACTTGCTTTTTCTGATGATGATGTAGCATCTTCACATACATTGTCACACATCTGAATTTCTTCTTGTCTATAGTGTTTGTTTAACTTTGCCTGTAGAATTGAGGGGAAAAGAATGAGATGACCTCAGTTTTAGATCTTATTCTGGAGGAAAGGGAACTGTCCAGTAGCTGGTACTCCCAATGTTAGTGGTATTAAGATCTTTGGCTTGCAGATATTTGTGGTTGACAGATTTCCGTGATGTCCGTAGCATCCGTTGATGATGAAAGATGTCTGCGGCAGATAGATATCAGAGGTGTTTGAGAAGAACCTTCCATACAGAATCTTGGTTCTTAAACATGGTTCTTGGTTCGTAAACAAATCACTTACCTTCTTCTCCAACTTGCTCTTCCAGCTGAAGTCTCTTTGAATCTAGATGGTACGCTCCAAAATTTTCAATGGATAACAGAATTATTTTTCTGATTACTTCCTCCCTAGATATCGTCAAACTTTCTGTTTAAATTGGACAATAACAATAACACTACCATTAGTGTTTGTGTCCCAATATATTTAGAAAATTCTAGTATTTTCTTTTGTTTTTCTTTTTTATTTATCTTTTTTAATTTTTTTTTTACTCTGATTCTTTAAATGGATATCCCCTACTGAGTGAAAAGGTTACTCCAGTACTTTTGAAAAATAAAGTGCATAATTTTTATAATTCATGTATGAAACGTGAATAATTTCTATTGCAGGTGATAGGATTTGAGCTGGTTGTAATGTTTTTATCACCTTCTAATGAATATATGCATGCTTTGTTAATGTGTGTATATTGCAAAAACCTTGCGACTGATAAAGTGTACTCTCCTACACCAGCTTCTGCATGAACACTGTTTGGCATCGCATGCTTACTGTAATAAACTAGAACTATGACAGCATACTCTGTTGTGCTCATTTACTTGTCATCCTTTTAAAGAAAGAATTATTTAATTTTATTTTCTTTCTTTTTTTTTAAGTAAACGATTGCATACAAATCAATCTCTCAGTGCTGTTTTTTTTTTATATATATATTTTACATTTTTCCATAAGACATTTTTTCTTGGAATGGGTCTTCTAATTTACCTATTACAGACTTGTCTCTGTTTTATTTAAATATTAAAGAATCACTATTGTGTGTAGTAAGCAGTGACTGTATAGAGGAGGTACAGGCGTTAGTATTTAAGAGGGATACAGTCAGGGATTTTAACAGGCCTGGGATCTGCTTGTGCACCTATTTTCAATCCATAGCAGTCAGCTGGTTGTCATTTAAACTGGCCCCAGAACTGCTGCTTGGGTAAGTAGATATAGACTACTGCCAAGAACAACAGGTGTTCTTAGCAAAGTGGAGGGAACCAGGAGGCGTGAATGAGATCTTTCCCTGCCCTTCACTAAAAGAGCCACCAGTTATTGGTCCCAGTGCACAGTGTCCCACCTCTCACACCTTTTAGGTAGCATAATCCGACACCCACACAACCAGTTCCCTTATTTATTGGGGTGCAGTCACGTGTGCTACTTTTGACCAGGATAGGAGCACTGGGCAGCAGAAGTTCTGCTTGCACCTCCACACAGGCACCTCAGACGAGTGGAGTCTGGCCTCTTCCTCCACGGTCATACACGTACACACTGAGCGGGTGTTCTCCTCTAACGCACGGGACAGGATTTAGAGTTCACAATCTAAAGTGCAAGGCACGTAACTTCTAATTATTAAGAGTTAGAGGGATAAGTGTAAAAGATGACGACTGTTATTGAGACCCAGGTGCAGTATAACAACACCTACATGATGTCTACTACGGAAGACTACATGACTCAGGAGGAGAACTGGGACAGGGATCTTCTGCTGGACCCTGCCTGGGAGAAACAGCAGAGGAAGGTATGTTCATATGAACCTCACTGCAACACAAGTCACTTTGAGGGGGCAAGATTTGTTTTTGTTGTTGTTGTATTTACCTTTTATATAACCATAGCTTTAGCTGAAATGCTATAGTGACTACAGTAATTATTCCAATATATGAAAACGCTGAAAGCTTACTAAACTTAAAAGAAATCCTGTATTAATTTTTTTTTTTTTACAGTAGTAAGAATAGCTGTAGAGACTTGGTATTGCAACGGTTTTTATGATTACCCAAGCAAATCTGAAGGAAGGAAATCGTGCTGAACATACTATTCAACACTTAGAGACGATTTAAATAATATTTTATTGTCATTTCGAGCTGACAAGCGAGTTTACATCTTGTACAGCTGTTGGTTCTATTCGCAGTTTTCCTCTGTGTAGTCTTACCACATCCCCGCCCTCCTCATTAAGTCTGTGGCTAATTTTATACGGTCTTTATGTGTTATATGAGTCTCTAAAATCGTGTTACTAATCGCAGTAACGAACACGGACAATGTCTAAGACGTTCGCTAGAGTTTTAAAATTACCTCAGAAAAGCGCGCGTACTTTTAATCCATTAAACGGGTACTTTCTAAACTTACCTGTACTTTAAACGATTAAACAGTCGCTGTTCCGTGTCAAAACGCAGGCTTTTCTGTGCGAAGGTAGAGAAGTTAATACGTTTTTGAAGATCGTCTGGTTGACAGAAATGACAGGTGACGTTTAATAGCCGTCAGTGGAGCTCGTGCCACAGTATGAGGTGACGTCAGCCAAGAACAACTGATTGATCTCTGACTGCAAACTACAGATTTGAGGTGTCGAGCTCAGATACGTTTGTCAAGACAGAAAAAGACCCTTTGAGTTCACAAGTTACCTTGTATATCAGTCAGATGCTCATATTTTGAGAAAATTGTCATATGGTCATTACTGGTTTAGGTAGCCGTTTAGGTATATATACACACACACACACACACACACACACACACTGTATATATCGGTACATATATATTTTAAGAAGAACATATCCATTATTTTTAAATGTCTTGTATTTTTTATTGGGGGGGGAAACAGGTTTTTGCAAGAAATGGCATCGATCATAATGTAGAAAAAGCATTGCTTGTGCAGGTACTCTCCATTAAGGTGTCTCACAAACATCTGCGGGATGTTGGCTAGACCTGACAAAGCTGAAAGACTTCAACAGATGGTGTGAGAGCAAGAGAAGTGCAAGAAGGGTTCATTTCAGTCTGTGAATAAACATGCCCTAAAAATACTCCTCAGCCTTGCCGCCCCATCTCCCGTGCTGCTCCCTCGTTCCCTCCATTCTCAATGCCATCTTTTCTGAGCTCCTTTGCCTGTGCAGACAATTGCTCCCTCTGTATTTGACAGCTAGCAAAAAACGTCACCATGTCAATTGTCACTATTTTAATGGGGCAAATTTTTAAGGTGCACACGGTGGTGTTCCATAGCCAGCACCTCATATGATGTAAACCATAGACTTCTATGTGTTCCCACCTCTCAGCTAAAAAAGAAAAGGTGCTAGTCACTTTTTTTTTTCCATTTGGTTAAGCAAATGGTTGAGTGATATTTCTCATGTGGAAGTAATAACATGCCCACTAGCGCCCCCTGGATGATCGATATTACGTTTTTTACTCATTGTTTTAAACGTTGAAGACTATTGAGCTGATCAAATGATGCCAATCGATAACACGAAGCTTATAAGAAAAGCTAAGCTAATATAAGCTCTTAACTTAATCTTGTTGCAGTGATAAAAGGCTTCAATAAGGTTATAAGTTGGGTTTCAGACTTGAGTGCATGGCAGAGGGTCTTTAAACATCCCTCAGGCATGTAAAATCAGCAAAAGGAGCTGATATCACTGCGTAAATATAGAAAGTGCATCATTTTGCAATGAAACGAATATGGGGGTTGCTTGGGGGTGGAGGTTCTGCACCTGTTCTAGCTCCACAGCGCACATATACAGAAGTCCCAGTAATAAAGTGATTGTCAACATGCCGTTTTATCTGATATCTGTCAAAAGGCAGCAGAAAATAGACAAATAGTTTCTGAGCGTCGCTGTGTGTTTAAATTCTCTCACAATCTGGCTTAAAATAGCTGATATCACACTGCCCTGTAGCCTATGACTGAAAAAATATAGATTTTATTACAAATAGTGAAACATTCAAAGAGATCTTAAGAGTTTTAATATGTTGTTTTTGTTGTTGCTGCAGCTAAGCTATTGCTAATGTAGCTAGCTAAACTGTCAACTTCACTGTTAAATTTTAAGTGTGCAATCCTTGCTATATATATATATAT